GCACGGGGCAACCCGGGCTCGTTTGTGTGTTCGCCGAGGGGGTTGTTGTTTTCGGAAAGGCTGCTTGTACTTAAGGGCTGTTATAATGAGCCACTTTGAGGGCACTTTGCCTGTTCAGCCTGGAGAAGAGGAGGCTGTGGTCTCCGACATCCTCACTGGGGGCAGCGGAGGGGCAGGGACTGATCGCTGCTCTGTCCTCGGGGGGAACGGCCTGAAGTCGTGTCAGGGAAGGTTTAGGTTGATATTAGAAAAAGGTTCTTCCCCCGGAGGGTGGTGGGGCACTGACCAGGCTCCCCAGGGCAGTGGTCACGGCCCCAAGGCTTCCAGAGCTCCAGGAGCGCTTGGACAGCACTCTCAGGCACATGGTGGGGTTGTTGGGGTGTCTGTGCAGGGCCAGGAGTTGGACTGGATGATCCTTGTGAGTCCTTCCCGGTTCAGACTATTGTGTGTTTCTGTGTTTGTGAGCACTGGGGCTCACTGGGGGCTGGGGCATTGCCCCGACCCCTCGAGTGCTGCCCGGGTAGCTGTGGTGGGGAGGGGACCCCGGGAGCCCCAGCACTGTTTGGTTTGTGACACCAAACAGTTTGTCAGCAGTGGGTGGTGGCCGTGTGCTCTGTACCTGGTGACCAACACCGACTCTCTCACATCCACCTGCCCTGGGCATCCCCAGCCCTGCCCCCTGCCCTGAGCCAGTGCCTTCAGTAACTTGGCTGGCCAGCCCTTGCTAAAAAGACAGAGTCCCTGATGCCCTGCCATACCCCTTGTGTGATCAACCCTTGGCTGCTGGGTCTTGTTCTGGTAGCCTCAGTGAGCTGTCCTGCTTGCTTGGCTTCAGATATGAGAATTATCAGTGTCTGAATAGTAAAATCCCCAAGGCTGCATGGGACAGTGGAGCATTTTGGAGATAAGGCTTCCCCAGACCCCACTCCCTGCCCATCTGCACTGGTGTCAGTGTGTTCAATAACTTGGCAGAGCAGCCCTTGCTAAAAAGACACAAATACCAACCATACAAGAAATTATTGTCCTGAGGTATTTCCTTTCATCTCTAGGGCAGTTCCTGTAGGCACCAAGGCTGTTTGGCAGCTGCTGCCCAGCTGTGCTCATTTTTTAGCTTTAGGCCACCGGGCAGCAGGATGTTGTTTTGAGTCCTGGTATGCCCTGGCGGCACCTTTCCGTTACAGGGCTGTGTTGTGTGCAGGGCTTGGCTTCTTTTGGGAGGTTTCTTCTACTACATTGTGGCTTCTTCTCTTTAGCCTCACCAAATGGCCAGGTGCCAGAATCCCTCATGCTCTACTGTACCCCTTCTGTGGTCAGCTCTTGGCTGCCGGAGCTCATTTTGGTGGCCTCAGTGAGGCATCCTGCTTGCTTGGCTTCAGGTATGAGAATTGTGACTGAATAGCAAAATCCTCAAGGCTGCTTGGGACAATGGAGCATTTTGAAGATAAGTTCTTTGCTGGAAAAAGGAGAGGAGGCAGCCCCGGGGTGTTTCGGTGGATGGGGGAGTTGCCACAAGAGCCATTGTCACCTGGAAAAGAGAGGAGGAGGACCAAAGGGGATTCCAGCTTCTCTGGGAGGTGATAGGCTCACATCAGTCGTGGGTGTGGAATATTCTGGCTACGGGAACTCAGATTATGATCTCTCACAGTCTCTCATGACTTTTTTTCCATGCCTCATATGGGAAGTTCCCTAAGCGGCTTTGCTGCATGTTTTCCTTTCCTCATGCTGCGAATTTCACTGTGCCGAGGCAGTTTTGACACATTTTGTTCCTTGTTCCCGGACCTGCTCCTGGAAAGGATTGTGCAAGGCAGAGGCAGTGTGTGGTGGATGTGAGCCACTGCTGCTGAGTTCTCACTTGGGCCTTCGGAGAATTTATCTTTGCAGAAGCTCCAGCTCAGCCAGTGCAGAAATGAACACAGGAAAATCCCGGCCCTGTCAGGGCTGTCTGCTCACAGCACATTGCTGAGCATAAACTGTGATACTCGACACTTCCTCTGCTAATTCGAGGTAGAAAATTGGTTTCCTTTCCTGAAATCTGCTGTGCTTGGCTCTCATAGATGTGCAAGCCAGCACTTAGATATTAATTCTCACTTACCTCTTTCTTTTATAGTCCCTTATAGGACTGACTTTTCTGTGCCAGCAAAAATTTTGGTTGTTTAGTCATAGCTGACTAAAACTCCAAGCTAGTGCAAGGTAGGACTGTTGGTATTAATTGCTGTGTGTCTTTCCACAGCCAAATAACTGATTTATCCAAAGGTCCCTGGGATCACAAGATGTGAGCTGGTGTTTTAGGAGGGGTTGACTTGAATTCCTTCTGAATTTGAGGCTCATCCCTGTTTGGTTGCTGGCCTGTAACTGAAGGCATCGCATGGGCACGGCAGCAGCTGAGCTTGAGGTGTGATTTGAGGGTCCTTCCTGCCCTGGGCAGGCAGAGAACTATGATGTGGTGAAGTGCTGTGGCACAAAGACATTTGTGCTGAGACTCAGCTGCAGCCCAGTTTGTGAATTTGTTTTCTGGCTGACCTTCATGAGGGCATGGTCATGTTTGTTTGTCTGTGCTCCTGATTCGGCTGTCCCTCCTCTCCAGGCTGCTCCAGCTTAGGGAACCATGCCCTTCTCCTGGAAAAGAGGGTGTTCTTCCCATGAGGAGCCTTGCCCCACACCCCTGCTCTGTGGAAGAAGGTTTAAAGTGGACCTGGAAAGTAAACTGTATTGGGGCATTCTCAATTTTCCTTTTCTTCCTCTTTAGTTCAAACAGAAGTCGGAGACAGCTGTGAAGAGAACATGTGTTAAAGGGGAAAAGGAAACACTGAGATCATGATTTCTAGGGTGCTGCTCACTTGGCTTCTGGTTAGAACGTCCTTTTTTAACCAGTGACTGTTTCGTGTGTGACACCTGCGTGTTGCGAAGAGCAGCAGGGGAAGGAGAAGTGGCAACGTGCCCAGGACATAGCAGATGCCCCCGGAGGGTGTACCCGGATCACGTGCAACTATTGTGGTCACTTCTTTATCAGGAGCCTGGAAAAAGAATGCCCTATTTAGCCAGGAATTCTTTCAGTAAGAAATAGCTGTCTAGGAGGGTATTGTTTTTCCTCCTCAGGAATCAGGGCCTAAAAAAGGAAGCTGTTTATTTAGGTGCTCCATATTTTAGTAGCTGGTGTACAAAGGGTGGTGCTGTCTGAATGATCCTTGCTGGGGTTGTTTCCCTCTTGCCAGGCAGGTAGGATGTGTGCTAAGGTGACCTTTGCTGAAGGGACAGTAAGGCTAAGAGCACACATTTCCAAAATAAGTTGGCATGAAGTGGCTCAAAGTGCGGGATGAGAGTTTTCAGTCACTCCTCTTCCTCCACCCATGTGGTGTGCAGGTGTGTTTTTCCAAAGAGTACAGAACTGGCTTTGGGAGCTGAGATTTTTTTAAAACTCTACTTAAGGTTTCTTTGTGCTCAAGAGTCCTGCTCCAAGCTCGGTCTAAAATCTGCCTGTAGGAGCTGTGCTGAGTTTGGCTGGAGAATCTCTGTTCCTGGCTACTACAGCAGGATTTATGATCTAGAATTGTCTAAAGGGCCCTGTGTGTGGCCTTCTCAAGATTATGTAGACGTTTCTTGATGTGTCATGTAAAAATGTGATTCCCTCACCCTCCAAATGTGTTGTATGCTGACACTCCCTTCCACTTCCAGCATGTTTGCATTGTGTTGGTAACTGACAGCTGTTTATTTTTTATTTTCAACACAAGAGTTAGGTAACCCTTCATACTGAGCACTGGGTTAGGAACAATGGTGGCCAGCCTGTGTTATTTCTCTGCCAACTGCAATTTTTAAAGGGAGAAGGGAACTGACACACCTTGAATGTTAGAATTCGTTGCCCAGAACAAATGTGTTTCTCAACATGCATTTTATTTTTCTTCTGCTTCTCTCCCTTGTAGTTTAGTAGTTAGTCATTTCAGGAAATGACATTTCAGTGGTGCCTTTTTGCTTGCTGGGCCCATTTGTCCTGTTGCTCTCCATGAATGTGATATACCCATGGATTTTCTGCATTACTCCAGACAGGAGGATGTCGGCATTTTGAGACTGAACATTTGAAGGGCAAAATGAAGGAAGCCATTCTATGGCCATGGGTTTACAGAACCATACTATGATTTTTGTGACTGCATTTCCTCTGATTCTTTTTAGATACAGTCACAGAATGTTTCCACAGAACGTGGGGAAGGGAGGTGGATCTACACAACGCACTTTGAGAATGTCATTAGTAAAGCTACATACATTTGTTCTCAAGGTTGGAAAGTACATTAGGGTCGAGTTTAATTTTCTTTTCTGTTTCCAGAAGCCCAAGATCAGTTTGCTTGGGGGACTGTGCATGCAGGTGTGACTTGGATGGACAATGTGTGTGGTCCCTGGGCCTGGCAGACTGACTCCTCTCCATTCTATCAAAGCAGAACTTCCCCAGGAGGGAAAATGCTGTGCCATGCAGGGGAAATTTTTGGTGGAGTGGGTGTGTGTTGAGGGGAATGACAACCAGGAGCAGTTCAGTGTAATGTGCTTGTTTGGAGAGGAAGTAATCAGGCGAGTGAGCGGGGTTTGTAGCCACAATACAGAAAGCTGGTTTTGAAAGCATCTTTGTGGTGGCTGCTTTACTTGGAAGGAGGTGTATAGAGGTCATGGCCATATGCACACAAATCCAGGTGGCATGTAGAGGGTTAGGGGCCATGGAATGCTTCTGGCCACCTTGTGCTGCCGAGGCTGTCTCCTGTCTGGCAGATGTTGCCATGGTATGGACCAGTCCTTGCACATTCTTCCTTGCCATCTCCTGCTG